TCTCGGAGAAGAGCCCACGTACCACTGAGCAGGGACACTCGGCCTGAGATGCTGTCAGTCTTGAAAAGAAAAGCGACTCCCGCTCCACCCCCAAGGATGCTGACAGGTGTGCGTGTCCTCACCTCCAGCCCAGCCGGAAAGCCGGCCGCACACGCCGCCTGCCCGTGGGCCGCCCTCGAGCACCAGGCTGAGCGTGGGGCGCGTGGGAGGCAAGGGCGCGCGGGTGACCTCCCACGACCTTCCCTTCCAGACTCGCCAGGCGGCCCCACCGGCCCCAGCCTGCCCGGCTGTGCAGGCCCCGCCCCAGGCTCCATCCCACGTCCCGCCTTCTCATCCTCTCTGTTTTGAAAATGTATCGTTTTCTAATGTGCGTCGTTTTCAGATGGGTGACAGGTCTACGTGGCAAGACACAAAACACGGGGGAAGCTGACGCGGGGAAACCTCACCGTCCCTCCCCACCACTCGGGTCCTCCCCGGAGGCAGCCCCGGGAGCCGGTCCAGTCCTGGGGGTGGGGGACGGGCCACGAGCACAGAGCCCAGGGTGGGCGGCGGCCCTCCAGCCAGCCCCGCCCCCCGTCAGCCTCCGGCCGCCACTCTGGGTCCTTCCGCGTCGGCCGCGGGGCCACCCGCTCAGCAGGGGGTGCCTCGGCGTCGGTGGGCACAGGCGTCCGTGCGCGGGCCCCCGGGCCTGGGGCGCGTGGGGTCGTGTGGCGGGGCCCAGGGATGGAGCAGACGCGACGAAGGCCACCAGCGCTGAGGCTGGAGGGTGTCCGATCACCGGGCGGGCCCCTCGGAGCCACGGGAGCCGCTGAAAGCAGAGCGGTCTCTCCGGCGCTCCGGAGCGGGAGGGGAGCCGGGGAGACTGGGGTGCGACGCGCCCCACCTGCCTCCGCGGGCGTCGCGGCTGGAGGGAGGGCCGGAGCACAGTGGGGACGCGCCGGCAGCCGCTTCCCAGGGCGCCCGTTGACGACACCTCGATGCCCGCGTGTGGCCCGGAGCAGAGGACGCAGCCGCGCGAGCCCCACCCCCCTTCCCGCCGAGCTGCTGCACAGGGAGATGGCAGAAGCCTGGGGTCGGAAGCCGCTACGTGTGTTGCCATTTGTAGCGCGGCCGTGGGAAATGCAGGCAGCACGACTGCGCCTGCGCTGCGGCTCTCAAACCCCGGCCCCGTGCGCAGGCGCACGTGCTTCCGGTCTTTTGTTACTGCTTCGTGCCCCGGCTGCTGTGGCTCCGGGGGCTGCGTGCCGGCCTGGGAACCAAAGGGTCGCCGGTTCGATTCCCGGTCAGGGCACAGGCCCGGGCTGCAGGTCAGGTCCCCCAGTAGGGGGCACATGAGAGGCAACCACAGGTCGATGTTTCCCGCCCTCTCGTTCTCCCTCCCTTCCCCTCTCTGGACCGGCAGAAAGCCCCACGTGAGCCCCTTTGTCTCAGGCTGGGCCCCACCGACCGGCCCCACCCACCGAGTCCAGATGGTCTCCCTCCTCTCAGACAGGAGCGATCAGGCTGCGTCCAGTCCTCGGTGCCCAGCACAGAGGGAGTGGGGGCCCGGCCAACGTCCACAGGCTGGAGGGGCGGGTGGAGGGGCGGGTGGGTGGAAGGATGGAGGTGGGGGGAGGGAAGGGCAGTGAAGGAGACGCCGTCCACCACAGAGACTGGCTCGGGGGCTCGTGGGCAGAACCAATGTCACTGCAGGGCGACCCCCCTGTCTGTGAGGAGAACGCCTGCCCCTCACACGGATGGCCCCCCCGCCCCCCGCGCCGACCCAAAGAACGCGCACAGGAAAGCAGGCCTGGCCTCTAGACGCTGAACCGGTGGGGAAAGATTCTGTCTTTTCTAGACAAACTCCGCCCCTGTCAGTGCCCCTGAAACCGACTGGAGAGCCGACGTGACCCGTGACCCCGGCACGGCCTCCGCGGCCGTCACGTCCCTGTCCCGCGGCACTTTGAACTCGTCATCGTCCCCAGACTCGAAGGGACCCAAGGGCAAGCGAGGAACCGTGGGACACACCCACGATGCCCACCCACCGCCAGACGGTGCTAAAAGCCCTCGTTTTAAACAATAGAGTGGGTCGGCTCTGGGGGGCGAGTCGGGGGGAGGGAGCCCTGCAGGGGCTGGCCCTCAGTCATCTGGGGGGACGGAGAGTTCAAGGCCGACTCCAGTGAAACAGCAGCCTCTGGAGACAAGGGCTGCCCCGGGGCTGGGCCACCTCGAGCCGGGAGGCTGAGACAGAGTCCCCATCACTGTGGCCACCCAGCCCGCACAGTCACCCCTGAGAGCTGCTCCCCGCTGAGGACGGAGCACCCTGCCTCCAGCGAGGCCCCTCGCAGGAGAGGCTCCAGCCCCTCGCCCCCAGCAGGGGCGCCCCTGCGGAGGAAGGGCTCCCCGGGGGCCTCAGGGAGGGAGGGGGGAGGGGCTGGGCTGGTCAGTGCCAGCAGGGAAAGTGAGTGGGACCCGTGGGACCCCCACACTCAGGGAAGGCGGGGGAGCGGGGGTCAGCTGTGTAGAGCGCAAAGCCTGGCTAAGCATAGTGGGCCAGTTACCCGGCATTCCTGTGCCTTGGTTTCCCCAACACAAAGGGAATGATAATGGCCGCTGGCGCAGAATGACCGGGAGACCCTCCTCTCGGCTTGGTCCCGGCAGTCACTGCCTGCCCGCTGGACAAAGGTCCTTCCAGCAGGGGCTGGCCCCGATGACAAAGGCCACACCTCCCACCACAGGCTGGTCTCCCCAAGAGACGGGAAAATGGGGCAGCGACCAAAAGCAGCTCGGCCCGCACCCCACGCCCCGCCCACCGGGAGACACTGGAGAGCCCCCTTGGAGGCAGCTGGGCCACTTCTCCCTCCGTGCCCCCCCCCCAGACCGGCTCCACCCAGCCCAACGCAGCGGGAGGGCGGACACACGTGTGCACACACCCGCACACGGGCCCCGGCTGATGCGGGGGCTGCCGGTGAGGCCGGGCCCTGTGCCCCTGTTCTTCCTGGCCCCACCCCCCAGGACCGGCGGTGCACTCGAGGGCAGCCTTGCGGCACAGTGCGGCTTCTCGCCGCGGTTCGCAAAGACTCTGCCCGTGGGCGCAGCAGGCGGTGGAGTCGACCCCTGTGCCCCCTCACCTGGGGGTCTTCTGCGCCCACAAAACCAGCCCCGGAGATCGGGGGTCTGAGGCCTGCCTCCTTGGCCATCGCGGCAGAGATGCCCACTCCTCCACAAACCCTGAGCGCCCGGGGGGGACAGGGCCGCCCTGTCCCTTCTCGCTCCCACAGCTCACTTCAGGGAGAGGCGGGCCCCACATCCGGATGAATCCAGCTGCCGACCGGAAGGCGATTCCGGCAAACCCAGGAGTAGGATCAGCAGGTGGAATGCGGTGCGGTGCCCGGTTGAATCCGAACTTTAAATAATGAGCAATTTTTGACATAAGCGTAGCCTATGACACGTTTGGGCTGTGCTTACACTGCCAAGGCATTCGTTGTTTATTGAAATTCAAGTCTGACTGATGTTAAAAGCTGGCAACCCCCCCCAAAAAAAGAAGCCAGCCCCGCACAGCGGTCAGGAGTGACCAGCAGCTGAGCCCAGCATTTCGGGGCTCCCCACCTCCCCTGGGTCTGGCTGAGCCTTGTGGGGGTTGTGGGGAGCAGACCTCGACAGTGCCAGGACAGGGTGTGGTGAGGTTCGGTGGAGCTGACTGCACAGCGGCACTCCCCGGTGGGACAGACGTCCCCAGGGCCATCGCAGCGGTTCTGCATCTGTCCCTTCTGAAGGGCTGGACCTCCTTTCCGAGATTCCCCAACTGGCAACCTTGGGGCCAGCCAGGTCGCCCGGAAACAAGCCTGCCTTTGGCTCCTGCCTGCAGGTTTGTGGGCAGCCCTAGTTTGGGTCCAGTGGGTGGCAGACGCCCCCTGAAGGTGGGACGTGTGGACTGCGAGTCCCAGCTGTGCGCTGGAGAAGAAGTCCTGCCATCCCCGGCTGGCACCCTGGTGCTGGGTGGGTCCTCCTGCACCAGCGGGAGGAGGTTCTCCACTGGGAACAGGCGAGGTTGGGGTGAAAGTGGCGGAGGAGCAGGGACCCCGAGGTGTCCAGGGCACAGTAAGATTAACGGCGGAAAGGGCCGCCCTCTGCGGAGCCCTGACTGCGGTTGGGGCCTGGGCGAAGTGGCCGAACTTCATTTTGGCCTTGCAGCCTCCGCTGAACCAGGTTCCCCTCTCCGGGTCAGGGCCCGACAGACGCCCATCAGAACGCCCAGCCGTCTCGGGCTCCCATGGCAGCTGGTGGCCCTGCGCCACTGCAGAGTCCTCTCCGGGCCACCGGTCCTCCTGAAATGGGGCGGAGGGGAGCGGGGACTGGCATCACCGGCAGCCCCCTGCACAGACGCCAAGCTGGGATTCAGGCCCCAGCCAGCGGGCCCCGCTTTGAGACCACCTGGCCGTCCCAGCAGGAGAGGCTGACCAGCGCCTGCACCGGCCAGGGGACAGCGCTCAGCCATGTGGCTCCAGCCGTTTACTATGAAGCCCAGCTGCGTTCGGGGCACGGAGCAGTTGCTGGCGGGACAGCCCGCCCTGGGAATGCACCCTGATTGGCCCCATGCACGGAGGAGGAAACTGAGGCTTTGCCCGACTCACACGGCTCTCGGGCCGCTAAGGAGGGGCCCTGGGGCCCCACCCGAGAGCCAACACTCGGTGGGAGGCGAACCACGCTCTGCCCTCGAGGCCCAGGCTAGAGGACCGCGGGGGCGAGGCCTGGCGGGAAGAGGGCGGGGATGGGCGGGGCGGGGAGAAGCGGGAGGCCCGAGCGACCTTGATTGGGTGCTGCTTTGAGCTGCTCACTGGGCTGTCTCCCAGTCCGGGGCCCCGCCTCGGCCCCGCCCCGGAGCAGGACTCCGCTCAGGCCCCACCCCTCCGCGTGCGGGGCGCAGACCCTCCGAGAACCTCCGCGCGGCCCCGCCCCGCCCCGCGCCGGCCCTGCCCGGGCCACGCCCCGCTGGGAACCGCAGTAGGTCCTGCGGGGCCGTGCCCACGCCGCAGTCCAGCGTCGCCTCCCAGGGATTCCCTTGTCGGTCACGCGGAGGCCCGCGGTCCCGGCGTCCGGTGCGCGGGAGCCCCGCTGTGCCGCGCTGAGACCAGAAGTCGGCCAGAAGCCAACGAAGCCCACGGTCGCAGGATGGACAGTGGGACAGTGGCTTCTTCTCGTCCTTCTTAACCGCTTTATGGAGGTGTTATTTGCAATTCCGCCATTGACATCCAACGGGGTTCGCCCGGAGTCGTGCGGGGATCGCCACAACCTCGTTTAGAGCGTCTCCATCCCCCTCCCCAAATCTGCTCCATTTCCGGAGGTCCGCCGGGATCTGACTGCGCCGCGCTGCGCTGCAAAGCGGACCGCCAGGGGGCGCTGCGGGGCCGACTCTCAGCTGCGCCTGCGCCGGCGCCGCGCGCGAACCCGAGCGCTAGCCCGCCGAGCGCGCTCCCCCGCGACTGCGACTGCGCGGAGCCCGTGGCCCCGCCGCTCCCGCCGGGGGCTCGTAGCTGGGCGCCTGGGCCATGGGAGAGGCGGAGGTGGGCGGCGGGGGCGCGGCGGGTGACAAGGGACCGGGGGAGGCGGCCACCAGCCCAGCCGAGGAGACAGTGGTGTGGAGCCCCGAGGTGGAGGTGTGCCTGTTCCACGCCATGCTGGGCCACAAGCCCGTCGGTGAGCGGAGCGCCGCGGACCCGCGTGGGGGCGGGGCAAGCCGGCAACGGCCGGGGGCGCGCGGCCGGGCGGGGGCCTCCTACACCGCACCCCCACCGATCCTGCCCCCTCTGCACCCCCACCCCTGCCATCTCCTGCACCTCCGACACCTGCCCCCTCCGCACCCCCACCCCTGCCACCTCCTGCACCTGCCCCTCTGCAGCCCCACCTCTGCCCCATCTTTACCCCTTGCCCACCGATGCCTGCCCTGTGCTCCCCTCACCTTTGTCCCCCGATACCCCCACTGACTCCTGACCCCTTGTGCCCCCGGCCTCCCTCCACTGACCCTTTCTCCTGCAGGTGTGAACCGGCACTTCCACATGATCTGTATCAGGGACAAATTCAGCCAGAACATCGGCAGGCAGGTGCCATCCAAAGTCATCTGGGACCACCTGAGCACCATGTATGACATGCAGGCCCTGGTGAGCTGGACCCCACCCTCCCCCGCCAGTCCCCTGACCAGCTAGCAGCAGTGTCCCCTCCGGGCCGTCCCCTGAGGACCTGCCGTCCCCGCGGGGCCAGTCATGAGACAGGGTGGCTCCGAGCGGGTTTGCCAAAAGCACAGCCCTAGAGGTGGCAGTGGGCCACCGGTGCCGAACCTGTTTTCGGTCGGTGGTCAGGGCAGGTCTCTGCGGGAGGGAACCCAGGAGCCCCGGCCAGAGCGAGGGCTCCTTGCGCCAGTCTTACGGGCGAGGCCCCAGGGTGCTCTAGGCAGGCAGGTGACCGTGCTCCCATCAGGTCAAGGTGAACGGCATGGCTTCTGGGAGAGCCAGGCAGGCAGGGCCATAGGCCTCGCGGACCTGCCAGTCACCACTCCCAGAGTCCTCGGCCCCTGGGCCGTCACTGCCCTCTGAGCTCACGACAGCTGCTGCCAACCTGCCCCTGAGGGCGTGTGCTGCTAACCCGGCGTTTCTCCCGGGCTGGCGCCGTGGTCACACCCTCCCCGGGTCTGCGGACTGTGTCCGAAGAGGGACACAGGGAGCGGGCCATCCTCACCCCTCCGCGCCCACCTCGGCAGCCCCCAGCACGGCTCGCTGGGTGCTCCTGAGTTGGCTCTCACGCGTTTAGTCATTCGCTAAAATCACGTTGTCTGTTTTGCTTCTTAAAAAAATAAAACTCTCTATTTGCCATCAGCACGAGTCCGAGATTCTTCCATTCCCGAATCCAGAAAGGAACTTTGTCCTTCCGGAAGAAATCATTCAAGAAGTTCGAGAAGGTGAGACTCCGCCAAGGCCGGGGTTGGGGGGCAGGTGGTGGCCGGGGAGGCCCTGTGCCTCCCGGAGGGGTGGGGTCGCCTGCCCGTGACGCTCGGCCCACCCGGGTCGGGGGGACATGCTCAGGGACAGGCGGCTCCTTGCAGCAGCGGGGCCCACGTGTGCGGCGTGTGGGGGGCACGCGGCCCGAGCCGCCCGCCGGTGTGGGCTTCTGGTAAAGGTCTGCTGTCCCCACCCCAGGAAAAGTGGTCATTGAAGAGGAAATGAAGGAGGAGATGAAAGAAGACATGGACCCCCACAACGGGGCCGACGATGGTAAGCGTGGAGCTCGTCACGTCCCTCTGCTGGGGCCCCGGGGGGCACGGTGCCCACCCCTGGCAGGGCCTCCCTGCAGGGCGCAGCCCAGGTGCCCAGCCGTCCTTCCTGGTCCGCTGCAGCCACGGCTGCTCTGTCTGGTCCAGCAGCTGAGAGGCAGCTTCCCTCTGCTCGGGCAGGAGCCTCGCCGGGCGTGGACATCGTGCGCGCGGCCCGCACCACGAGCGAACTGCAGGGCGGCCTCGGGCCTCGGGCGGGCCCGGTCAGGTGGACCCCGTGTGCAGTGCCGGAGGTCTCAGTGCAGGACAGACCCTGAGTAGCAAAGCCGGCGCGACCTTGCGGGACAGGCGTGAGTGGCGGCCCGGCGGGCCCTGCGGCCGAGCGTGCGGTGCCCGAGGCTCTCCGAGGCCCCCCCGAGGCCGGCACGTTCTCAGAAGGACCAGGCGCTCCACGGGCCGGGCGGGCGCCCCCAGCTCAGGAGAAGCTGTGGGTTCGGAGCGTCGTGCGTGTAGACGCAGCGTTTCTAACTGAACAGGAAGATAAAATAAAACTCTGGATATTCTGTTTTCAGCCAAATGATTTTGTCTCCCAGTTTTTTCATCTTCAGGAAGCTTGGGGAAAGTAACGGAAAAGCCCGGCAAAGACAGAGACAAGAACCCCTCGGACTTGGGGGCCAAGGACGGGGCGGACAAGCGCAAGCGCAGCCGGGCCGCCGACAAGGTCCTCACGGCCAACAGCAACCCCTCCAGCCCCAGCGCCGCCAAGCGGCGCCGGACGTAGCCGCCCACGAGGAGGGCCGGCGGTGCCCTCTCCCCGTCCGGAGTCCGGACAACACGAAAAGCCGGGATCGCCGGTTCAGGCTGAGAGCGCGCTCAGTGGTGGCGTCGGGGGCACAGAGCTGCCGCCCGCCCGTGTGGCAGACGCCGCCTGGCGTGAGGAGCCGTGAGGCCGACGGCCCCGCCCTCCCAGGGGCACCCATCTTCCCGCCAGTCCATCTGTCCACCTGTCCGCCCGCCGCCCTTGTTCAAGTGACCGTGACCTCCGGGGAAAGGCCACCGGGCCTTGCGCACGCGCCCCTCCGTCGCCCGAGAAGCTGGGAACTGGATATTTGGCCTCATTCACTTGTACTGTAACGATGTATATAATTTGGTTGCTATTTCACTATTTAATTTCTAAGAAGCCTATTTTACTAGTGTTTTATATGGAAAAAAATACCGCAGAAGTTAAGAACCTGTGTTGTATTTTTTCCGAGATGTTTTGTTGTAAGGTAACGACCACTGAGATACTTTTTGCTCAGTTTTTATACGCCAGACAGAGAGTTTGTGGCTATTTTTGTATTACCGAGTAACTTGCAAACAGACCGAACTCGGGAGTGGCGGGCGGCCCGCCGGGGCTGCTGCCGGGCCGGGGACTAGGGGACATTAAAGCCCAGAAAAGCGACCTGGACTCCTGTGATTTTCATACCAAAACAAGCGACCGTTGGCTACAGTGGGGAGCTTTTGTTTTCCCGAGATTGGTAGCTGCAGCGCGCCCTCAGATGCACTTGGCTCACGCCACAGCGCAGTCAGGAACGCGTGTGCCCGCCGGCGGTGGCCTGTGAGTGTGACAAGCCCCTGGAGTCGTGCGGGGAGAGCCCAGGAGGCAGCACCCGCACCCCCTCCTGTGGGAAGGCTGGAGGGCCCTGGCCCACGCAGGTGCACCGCACAGGTGTGCCCCCTCCTGGCCAGCCGCCACACCCGACCTCCTCAGCCTGAGGAGCATGAGGACTCGGCATTCCCCTCCCCTGTCCGGTGTCCAGTCCAAGGCCAACCCAGCCACCACGGGGCCTGCAAGATGTCACTGGTGCCCACTTGCCCCACAGGCCAGTGGCACCTGGCACAGAGCGTCTCGCGCCAGGGCCTGCCGACCGTGAGCAGAGGGCCTCGGCATCTGCCCCACACGGGAACCCGCGGGAGAAGCCTGCGCTCCCGGCCTTGTGGCCCCACGGGGTGCGTCCCAGCGGAGGACCCACACCCGGTCAGGGCACCCTGCCGTCTAGGCAGGGCTCCAGGCAGAGCCCAGGGTGGGGTCGGAGGCCGCCCTCCCGCCACACCCCTGCTACGGGCATTCCTCCTCCTGTGGTGAGGGCCCGTGGGGTCCAACTCTGCTCACAGCACGCACCATGTGCTCCCCTGCTGCCCAGAGGGGCGGCCACTCTCCCAGGGCCGGGAGCAGAGGTCTGCCCTATAAAGAGTTCTAGAACTGACTGGGGGAGGACATGCCCCCCCCATTCACTGTGCCCACCACCCCCACTCTGCCGGGTCCATGAGTCAGTCAGGACGTGTGAGAGAGCCCTGGGCGGGGAGAGACCGCCCAAGCGCACACAGCCCTGAGGGGCGCGTGCAGAGTAGGGACAGGCCCCCTTGGCCAGCAGAAACGCCTGCCTGAAACACGCCTTCGGGGGCCTGGGGAGCTGCTGGAAAAGCCCAGCCAATAAATCAAACCTGCCTCTTTCCATCATTCAGCGTTTTACAGGACTCGGTTGGAGGACACAGGCGGAAGGGCGGGCGGGCAGGCGAGCAGGTCGCCCCACCCCCCATATGCCCTGGTGCCCTTGGGGGCTGCAGTCCTAAGCATTACCCAGCACCCCTGCCCTGGGCAGACGCAGCTCCCCAGGCCTCCCGGGACCCTTGCCGCCTGTGGTCTGTGCAGGCCGCTGTGGCACATGATGTCTCCAGCCTGGGGGCCAATCTGGGACACGGGGGTCCCACACGTGCCCACCAGGTAATGTGGAAGCTGCATCTGGACAAGAAAACGCAGACAGTGTGGGGCCGAGGCTGGGGCGTGGCGCAGAGATGCAAACACCCCCCAAAGCTGCAGAACAAACAAACAAACAAACAAACAGTGTCCGCACGGACCCAGGGGTGGCCTCAGACTGGAAACCTGGGCAGCGAGTAGCTCTCGGCGCCAAGGACGCCGGGGCCTGAGCACCCTGCCCGCTTCCCTGGCGCTGGCGGGTGGGAGCTGGGTGGGTGTGGTCTCAGCGCTCCCTGCTCTGGCCCGGCCCCCAATGGGGGTCTGGAGGGACAGCGGGCCCCCGAGAATTGTCGAACACACACTGAGCGGCAGCAGGGGGCCGTGGGCACCCTCCCCCACCGTGGCTGGTGGAGTGGGGGTGGGCGGACTGGGGCCGGATAACGTGGCTGCAACTGTGTTTGCCTGAGGAAAGTGTCAGAGCAAGTCTGACCAGAGCCGCCTCAGCCAGCCCCCACCAGGGTACTCGAAGGGCCTCCGGGCACGCGGCTGGCTGCCGGGGCGCGTGGGGGGGGCCTGAGAGTGCACGGCCGGCCCCGTGCGTGCTCTGGGCCGCCTCACGAGGCCTGGGCAGCACGCCGCCTGGATGTGGGGCCCACGGCAGGTGTCCCCAGAGCCCCCGCTTGCTCCCGCAGCAGAGACTGGGGTCCGGGATTACTGCCCCCTCCTCCCACGAGGTGAGCTCTCGCAAACTGCACACAGAAGCATCTAAAGGGGCGACCAGGTGCGACCACCGTTGCCAGAGCAGCGGCTGGGCGGTGTCTTCGGAACCAGCCAGGAGGCGGGCTGCCCTCCTAGCCCTGGCCCTGGCCGTGGGTCGGGCTGGGCCCTGAGGTGGACTGCCTCCCCTCCCACTGGCTCTGGGGCCCAGGAGGGGCGGAGCCTGCCCGCCCAGGAGTCCCAGGTCAGCCAAACCCTGAAGGACCCTCCGCCCCAGCGCCCGGGGCCTCCACCAGAGGCTCCCACATAGCCTGGTGTCACCGCCAGGGTCTCCAAAGCCAGCTGCTCACCACCTGGTGAGCTCAGGCCCGCGGCTGCACTCCCCGGGGAAGTCTACCCTGGCCACTTCTGGCCGGCGACTCACAGAAATGCCCAGAGCCCGTGCCTTTGGGGGAGCCACCACCGTCCTTCTGGAAAATGAGGTGTGCTCGCACGGCCTGCAGCAGGGTGAGACGGGGCCCAGAGAGTTCTGGAAGGCCGACGAGCCGGCTCGCCACGGGCACAGCTCCGAGGCCCGCCCTCCCCTGTGCGCTGTCCCGCTCTGCTCTCGGCCCTCACCAGCTGTGCGGGGCCAGGAGACGTGGAGTCCCTCCCTCACAGGGCTGGACTGCAGCCTTCCCTGGCGGCACCCGGCACCGGGCACCGGGCACCCGCAGGCAGCTCTCCTCGAGGCTGAATCTGAACACTGCCCTTGGGTCTTCGCTGCGTGTCTGCAGAAAGGCAGTGGCCTTGTCGCAGCACACGGCGTCACCTGGGGTGGCCGCACCCAGACTTCATTTCCAAGGGCGAGTTTCCTGCTTTGCTGAAGCTCTGGGTCACCTGCCGGAGGTCAGAGGTTAACTAAGGGACCAGCGTCGCGGCGAAATTTGGAGCAGCAGGCGATTTTCAGCCATCCGAAATCGGCCACCTCCCAGCCCCCAGAGAGACCGCCGAAGGGCGCACAACTGGCGTGGGCCTGCGCCGGACATCCGCAGGGGACCCCCGCTCACTCCTGCCTCCCGGTGCTCAGGCCGCGTTGACAGTCACCACGCAGCGGGCACGCTCCCGCTGGCGCGGGGGGAGCCCACTGGCCCGTACCAAGGGCCGGTGGAGGGCCCGAGGGAGCTTGGGAGCAGGTGGCTCCCCAAACAGGCCCCCGAGGAGCCCACCGCCCAGCCGACACCGGAGGGCGTCCTGGGGGACCATGGCGGGGGCGGTCGCCACCTGGGGGGTATTCATGGCGCGGGGGTTGGGGGGGGTTGGGGGGAGGCAACTTCCAGGCAGCACCCTCCTGGGGGCGGCCTCCGAGGACATTCTCTGGGGGACACTGCTGGGGGCCTCCGGCCGGGTCTCTAGGGGGCGAGCGTCCTCCGGGGCGGGGCGTGCTCGGAGTGGGGAGCTTTGGGGGATCCTCGGGGTGGGCGGACCCCGGGGTGGGGGGGCCCGGGAGCGGTTCTGGGGACACGTTCCGGGGGCCATGCTGCATTCGGCGGCAGCCTCCCCGCGAGAGATCCCCGGGCGGAGGGATTCGGGGTCACGGAGGGCGGCGGGGGCGAGGGGAGAGGGGTTCTTGGGTCCGGCCGCCCGGGCCGGCGGCCGGCGCGCACGTCCTTCCGGGCGGGCGCCCCCAGGCGGGCGGGCGGGGCGGAGCCCGAGCCGCTGGAGCCCCGCCCCGCCGCGCCGGCCCCGCCCCCGCGCTTCCTCCCCGGCTCGCGGCCGCTTCCGGCGGAGCGCGGGCCCCGCCGCCGCCCGAGCATGGACGACCCGGACCGCGACTCGACCTGGGAGGACGACGACGAGGAGGAGGACGGCGAGGACCCCGGCGCCGGGGGCGGCGACGATGGCGAGGCGGGCGCCCCGCGGGGCGCGGAGGACGCGGAGCAGCAGGAGGAGGAGGAGGCGCGGCCCAGCGCGCTGCCGGTGCGTCCCCCGCGATCCCCGCGCCCCCCGGGACCCCCGCGCCCCCCGGGGGGCCTGCCGGGCCGCCGCGGATTCCGGGCGAGGCCCTGCGCCGGGGGAAACCGCCCCCTTGCCCCGGGCCGGGGCGGAAGCTCCTCGGGCACGCGTGTGGAGCCCGACTCCCGCCCCGGCGGCCCCCTGTCCGGACCCCCTGCCTCCTGGAGGGCCCCGCACAACCCGCGGGGCTCCCCGAGATCGCCCCCGCTCGGCGCCCCGAGGACGGGGTCGGCACGGAGGGGGCGTTTTCTCCGGGGGAAGCCGGGGCACATCCTGGACCTCCCTCGCCCCGACACGTCCAGCTCCGGGCCTGTGGCTCAGGTCTGGTCCCACCCTCCGCGCCTCTCAGCCCCCTGCGCCCCTCCAGGAGCACCGCGCTCCGCTCCCCGCCACCCAAGACTCCCCTCTTCGCCCAGCCCCCCAGCCCCCCAGCCCCGCGCCCCTGCTACTCCGCACGGGGCGCGGGCCCGCCCTCTCCAGCGGGGGCTGGCCTTGCGTCCTCCTGCAGGTGGTCTTGGAGGCTGCCCTTAGGTGACCTGCCTGAGCCAGGGCCACTGACCTGCTGAATGGTTACTTCTGGTTACCACTGGTTGCTTGTTACTGCTGGTTACTTTGTTGCCACCCGTTAGCTGTCTTAGCACTGGTTACTTGTCTTTAGCAGGGGTTGCTTGGCGGCACTCACTGAGCTGTGGGTGCCATTGTTCCCGCTGGGGTCCCAGGAGTTTGGGGGGGATGGGACCCGGAATGGTAGCTGTCACCCTGTGTCCCCGTTGGTTTTGGACCATGGCCCCTCGGCAGCACGTCCGGAGAGGCGCAGACATGTCCGTGGGGTCTCTGAGGTGGATTCATTCTCCTGGGGCAGACCAGAGTGCTGGTTTCTAGGTCTCCCCCTCAGTGTTTGGGGAGCAGAGGGACCCCGGGAGGCTCCTGGGCCTGCTGGCAAGGCCGGTGGCCTGGGCACATCTGGTGTTTCAGGACGAGTCCCTCGGGTC